ACTTCCTCTTTTTCTTAGTGAGAATCTAAGAGTGACTCGAGAAGGAAGCTATCCATTTATGCCTTTGGATTACGAGAAGAATAAATTAGGAGAGAAGCAGTTGGAAGTAAAAGAGAAGAATTATTATCATTGAGTTCAGTTGTTAAGGATGAGACTTCATTTTTCTTTCACTCACTTTAAACAAACAAGGTGGCTTCGCTCCTTGCTTTAGTCCATTTCTTATTATTCTTTTTCGTCAGGTTTCTTTAAGGAAGGAAAGATTGAATGAAAGAGTATAGTAGGATTTAAGGAAGGAAAGAGAAGAGAAAAGGGTTTTGGTTCTTTCTCCTTCACCATAGAAGTTTAGCCAGCATATTCTACAATGTCTCAAGATGCTAGTTGTTTTGGGTATTCTTTATTGGCATTTTGAATCAATAGGGAAAGCTGCGGGGATTGATTGATTGATTGCCTACTTCACCTCGGTCTCTTTTCTTTCCTATTCTATTGGTCACGCTTCGAACGATTGGTTTTTCTCTTTCATTTGTTTCGTCTTTCTCTTTTGATTCCTTTCAGAATTCTCAGCATAAAGGAAGAATGAGTCTCGTAATCAAATCATCATGAATGAAAGTAAGAAGTAATAAGGTCAGGTTTATAACTAGTAAGGTAATTCTCATCAGTAGCTGTTTTTTTGTTTGCTTCCTCCTTTCTATCTTTACAAACGATTCTTCTTTCACTAGTAAGGTTTCGCTATTCTTTCCTCTCGCTAGAGGATTCCCCTTCAAAGACTATAAACTCAGTAAACTCATTCACCTTTACAGAATAAGAAGAAGATAATATGAAATCAAAACGAACAAACAAATACAGTTGAGTCAATTAAATCCTCTGTCTATATCTATTGGTCAAGTAGCTTCGCTCCGGAACCCTTTATTTAATCTGATCGAAACCTTATACTTTAATTCCCTCGTTATTCAATGACAAGGTAACATAGGCTTCACTACTCTTTTTCTTCTCTTTTTCATTCACCTGTTGGTTTCCCAATTCCATTACCTTATTCTGTTTCGGAAGGTTTAAGGAAAGATTAATTCCACTTTACTCGTTCACCTCTCTTTTCTTTGTAACTAGGCTTTTTAAACAAATAGAATTTACAGGCAGAAGAGTAAAATAGATAGCTTGAGCTCGGCTCGGTTCCTAAGAATTAATCCTTCCCTCCCCTTATACTGTATTACTAGATTGAACTGAAAAAGCAGGTGAGAGTTGTCAGGCAAAGAAGAATTTGGGGTAGAGCGGGGGATTCATCAAACTTACCTTCTCCTTGACCTGTCGGTAAAGCAATTCTACTATATGCTGGAACTTGAACAACCTTTACACGGTCTCTTTTTTTCCTCTCGCTATAGGTAGGTCGTCTCGAATCTCTTTTCTTTCTCTTTATTCTAGTGTGAGTTTTTCTTTCCTTTACTTTTGACTGTATTACCTTCCTGTTTTGCTTTAATTTTCTTCTCTGACTGATTAAACTTCTATCTGAAATACCTTTTTTTCACCTGTAGAGATTGGGTTGGCGTGAAGTGAGCGACTTCCCCTGTATTCCCTTCCCTTAACCTATTTACTACATTATTCATTTGAACTACTAAACCTATTGCTATTTCTTCTTTCTCCTATGGATTCTTGAACAGTAAACTCGGGGTAAACAGTAGGCTGATTGAACGAACTCTTTTCCTCTCCTGTAAGAAGGATGAATTCGACTCAAGATTAACCCTTTTGATTGAACGAGGTAAACAACTGAAGGAAAAGAAGAAGAAGAAACCGACACCCTGAACCTGCCTGATGTCCCTTCCCTATTTATTTCTTCCAAAGGCAAGGTAAGGTCAAGCTGCTAATTCATTCATTTATTCAAACAAAGATTGTAAACTCTCTTTAATATTTCATCTACCTTCTTTCTCTATCGGTTACGGTTCAGGATCATTAATATTTTTTTCTTCCTCTTTCCCTTCTGGCATTCTCTAACTAAAGGTGAAGTAGCGAAGTAATGAGACTAACAATGAATAGGTTTTGGTTCATGAGCTAATCCTTCCTTTTAAGTTCAATATGGTTCAAGAGTAGGAGTTCATTTATTAAATAGGTTCCCTGCCTGGGACGGGAATAGAGGTTCTGGTTCAGGAGCTGATCATTAATCTTGTCGGGCTTCACAGCAGTCTCCCTGATTTCATTCTCTTATCTTTTCTTCTCCGATAAACAAGGGTTGGTTAAACTACTTCTCTTTCATTTTCTTCTGATTCTTGCATGAATTTACTTGACTGTCAAGTGAGGGGAATAGGGATTCAGGAGTAAGTAGAGAAGCAAATAGTTTACAAGGGTCGAAGATGCGAGACAAAGGAGAGGAGCAAAGCGACTCGACCAACAGGGAGAGGAGAGGAGCAAAGCGATGAGACACAAATAGTTAGGCGAATGAGTGAAGCGACTCGACCAATAAATAAATAGAGGAGCGAAGACATGAAATAGACAGTTCAAGAAGAGGGAGCCAAAAGAGCAGAGGTTCAGTAGAATGAATAGGAAAGATGCGAAGCAGCTCCACGAGAAGACGAGAGGAGTAAAGTAAGTAGGCAGAGGAGTTCAATCGAATTAAAGGTTCAGGTAATATCAAGGAAGGAAGAAGCCACAAGAACGAGTTACATCACCTAAAAAATAGGGAGAGGTTAGGTAGTTCAGTCGAATAACGAACACAGAAAAGAATAGAGGTTAATGAGTTTACTGTTCCAGAAGTGAAGGTAGTAATAATCTAATATAGAAGGGGGTGGTTCAGCAGCTTCTCTTTCTTTTTCAGTTCAATCTGGTACTGGATTTCATGAATTGACTCTCCTGTAATCTTCAATCAATTCCTTCTCTGAGGGAAGGAATAGAGGTGAAGAAGAATAGTCCGTCCAGTTTACCCTGTTCATTCTCTTTCAGTAGCAAATCCATTATAAGGTTAAGGTTCTCGTACTCTCCCTCCTGAAAAGTCAAATTAATCTTTCATTTCTCCCCTCCCTTCAATCAATTCTCTTGTAAAGTAACTAATTCATTGACTCGATAGTAAAGAAAGGAATATCTTCTTCTTTCATTCTGGTCAGGTTCAGGTTAGAGAATAGATAAAGATGAACGAGAGAATAGGAATAGATAGGAGTGAACTCTCATGAATAGTGAGTTGAGTCTTAGTTTAGAGAGAAGCCGAGGTGAAGTAGCGAAGGTCATATAGGTTTCAGTCAGAGGCAGGAGTGAAAGCAAGCAAGAAAGAAAGAGTTGTTCAGTCTCTCTCTGGACTTCCAATGTAATTACCTCATACATGACCCTAAACATAGGGAGAGGTGATTGAGCTGATCATCCTGTTGCTTTACCGAGTGAAAGAATAGTGTTTGAATAACTAACCATAACTGAACAAGGAGTTAAGGATCATGCGGCTTGAGTGGAGTCTCTTTCCTTCCGATAATGAATAGGTGAAAGAATAAGCTTTACCCCGAGAGTTCAATGACATAAAAAATAAGGAAGGAATAGAATAAAAGGGTTAGACAGGTTAATCAGTAATAGTCCTGTTATGGCTGACGAATCTTTCTTTAGTCTTGACTCGACTGTCACAGTAGCTCTTGTTTTGCTTGATGAGTCTCCCCTCACTGTAAACTCTCATTCATACATAAGGAGTCTTTATTTACAGCTCAATAAATGAATGATGAAAGATCTCTCTCTTCTTTAATGATTATTTCCTTGTTATTAACTCTTAGTTGTCCTTACTCTCTGATTTAAGGAAGAAAAAGAGAAAGGGGGAGAGGAAGCAGTGAGAACGAGTTTACTACTGTTCAATAGGAAAGGAAAAGGAGCAGCTTTACAGGGGAAAGAGCAGTTCAAGAATCAAAATAGTTGGGTGCCTGGCTGATGAAACACTCAGAATGACCAGAGTACCTAACCCTTGAGGTGAGGTCAAGGGCATTGATAGGGAAATGTACACGCACGCACTTGGAGTCGTTTCAGATGCGATCAAAAAGCCTTCCTTTTATAGCAGAGAGTCTACTACATATACTAAGATGCGAATAGAGATGCAGAAGGTCTTCTTCAGTTAGAGGTTAAGCAGTTTACCAAGAGGAAGATGCCAATAGAGATAAGGTCGGAAGTTAGAAGGGAAGAAGCGAAGACGAAGAGTAAGAAGAGAGAGAGAGAATTGACTCGCCAGTAATGTAATGCCTTTTGAGAGGAGCCAAGACGAGGTGATTCAATTCAGGCAGGAGAAAGACTACTACTATCTATTTACCTCGTTCAAGAAGTCAAGGGAATAGTAGAGGGTCAGGTTTCTTCCTCTTTTCTTACAGTTCCAGAAGAAAAGGGACAGGAGTTTACCCCCTTCAATCCGGGAAGGGAATAGGAATAGAGGTGAATGGGCAATAGTTGTGTCTTATCATCTCTCATTCATAACATAAAGAGTTTTGGCTTTCAAACACTGTCAAGCTGCTAACTCCTTCATTGATTCAAAGACTCGTTCATCTACTTTCTCTTTCACTCTTTTTACTGTAAAGACCATGAATGAATTTTGTCTATCTTTCCCTTATTTTGAGAGCAATAGGTAATGTTGTATTAAGTCAAGAAGAAAGGAAAGAAAGATTAGCTCCTTAACCTCTCCAACTCGGTTTCACTATTCCATTGCCCTCACCGGAACCTATCCTTTCAAGTTTTAGAATCAATATAGATGCTTTGAAAGACGAAAGAAAGAAAAACAAGACAAGATTCATTCTCCGGGGAACCCCTATTACCAAACAAACACCTATAATTACCAAGTGAAAGAAAAGAGCTATTGAATATGCTTTACCGTCGGCCGAGTTCAATCAATCCATAGGACAAAGAAAGTCAATGCTGAATTTAATCCCATACCATAGAGATGATAAATCTTGATCTAATCCTTTCGTTCTCTTCTTCTATTCCTTCTCAATTCCGATTCTTTAGTTTCCCCTTCTCCTGTAAGAAAGATTCGTTAGACTGACCAAACTTCACTCCTTCCCCTTGCCTTTGACTCTATATACCTGACCAAAGACCTACTCGTTCAATCAAATAGTGAACCCTGAACCTATTCATTGTCGGTCTCTTCTCTTGATCCTCTCCATTCGGTCTCATTCACCCTTGACTGATTAAACAAGGTAAATAGAATAGGTGTTTTCAGTTGTGTCCTTCTTGAAGAAAGACTCACCAAGAATTCCCCGCCAAACAGTGTGCAGTTCTTGTGAGTTATTCAAGAATGAGAGTGTGAACTGTGTAAGTCAAAACTCAACATTAATTATCCTGATTGAACAAGGTAAAGGTAAAAGAGAGAGAAAGGAAAGAAAGTTCAGCTCCATCACCTGATTGAACAAGCAAGGTCAAGCTCCGTAACCCTATTCCATTCGTCTCAGTCTGTAGGTCTGTGTTTGTTCCTGAACCTTCACCCACGCATCCTTTATGGTCTCTTCTTCTTCTTTACTCTTGAAACTGAAAGGAAAGACGAAACAAATTCAATCAAGATCAGCTACCTACCTTCTTGAACTAAAGCAAGCACTAAGTTTAAGTCAGTTCTTTCACTCCTTCCCCTAGAACCGTCACTTTCTTTACCTTTCTTTACAATTTAATCAGGGTTTAGACTCAAGAAGAATTAGAATGAACTACTGAACCAGCCCCTGTCTGTCTCGTTGTTGCACTCCTTAGCTGCTTTTCAAGACTCAACCAACAATCAAGGAGACTCCTGATTCATTAGACTTCTCTTACGGATTCCTTTAGACAAGAAAATCCTGCTGACGTCATTGAACAGTAAACTCTTCTCTTCGTCTTCACTCCTGAACTACTGATACTGAACGAACCTCTCTCTATTCTCCTATGGATTCTTATTCTTTCTTCGGAACTGTAAGTAAAGACTGAGGATGGATGCATTCTCCTTCCCTACTTCACCTTTACCTCTAAACTATCATCAGGTCAAGCTCCTTCTCCTATGTTCTTTCTTCTGTTCGCTACTAACCAACTGGAACCAGATTTAACTGTTCTTAATCCCTTGAACTTGGGTTTCTTTCACTCTCTTTGTAACATATATAGGCTAGCTTTTCTCTGATTCTTGATTGAACAAAGCGAAATAGTTCTTATTATTTCTCCTTCCCCTTTATTATTTTATTACTTGAGCTCTTGAATGAAACCCTTCTTGATGGATTTCACTCTTGAACTGCTCATGAGCTTGCCCCCGAACCTATATGACCTGTGAGCTATTGAACTTGTCCCTTTTCTTTCACTCTGGAACTCCTCTCTGTTTAGAGCCATTTTTTAGTAGAGGTAATTACGTTGGAAGGAAAGAAGGGAATGGAATTGTTTGTGTTGTGATCCGTAACCTGATTTCACTGTCAACTCCTGTGCTGGCTGGCTATGACTTCTTCGCCCTGGGTCAAAATAGAATAATAGGTTACTTGCTTCTGTTCTTCCTATCCTTTCCAGTCTCGTTCGTCTCGCTACTTAACTTACTCCATGAGTAACCCTATTGAGTGAAAGAGAAAAAGAGAGTGAGAGTAACCCTGCCTGCATTGGAGTGAATTGACTTAACTATTGAACCTGACCCGGAACAAAGCCAAAACGAATCATTAGACTTTAAGTAAGGACCATTGATTAGGAAATGTCTACTTTCTCGGTAAATAAAAGGCCTGATTGAACTGCAAAGACTGATCCTATTGATTCCTTATTGAAGTAGGAGGTAAACAAAGAAGACTGAACCTCAAACCTGCCCCTGGCTTACCGTATTACCTGACCTTCGTCAAGACTCGAGAAAGATGAATTCATTCTCCTTTACGGGGAGAGTCACTCTGCATTGGACTTCATTGTCCGGTTCCTTCACTCGCATATTCAATCTTTACTTGCTTTCACTCTTGAACAAGGGAACTAGGCAAGCTGGATGAGAAGAAGGTCAAGCTTTGGAGCCTATATTATTCTTTAACTTCTCTTGCTTGATTCTTTCCTTTCTTTTACTCTGCTGCCTGTAAGAAAGATGAATTTCGGGTTCACTCAATCACTTGTCCCTTTTGAACAAAGTAAGTAAAGTGTCCTGATAGAAGGTCAAGCTCCTACACCTTCTGGAACAGTAAACTCCTGGACTACTACTACTACTATTACTAATTAACCTTCTGGCTTCTCTCTCTCCCCCTTACTTCGGCTGGCTGATTGTGATCTTTTTACAAGGGTTGGGTAAAACGTCTTGTCTTCTTCCTTCTTTCTTTAACTTATTCATTCTATGGGTCTCTTTTCTTGAACAAGGTAAGTCAAGACGAAAGCAGAATTATCCTCTACAGTTCTAGAATCAATGAATTAGTAGCTTTACAGTGGAGCTACTTACTCCGGAAATGAATGAAATCCTCTTCTCTTTGTTCGATCGAGTCTTATTGGTTCTTTCTCCCCCCTCAAACACAGTCAAATTAGCATTTTATATAGTATAGCTTATAGCTGCTGTTACATGAATATGTAATAGTAAGAAAATCAGGCTATTGGCTGCATGCATCTTCCGTCGTCCTATTCTTCTTGAACTAGGGTTTCACTTTAAACAAGGGGTAAAGCATCTTCTTCCTTCACCTTCTTTCACAGTAAAAAGAAACCAAAAAACTCTCCTCTCTATATTACTTTCCCTAAGTGCACCTCGCTCCTTCCCCTCGAGCTTATTACTATGACTTCTTTATTCCAAGGTAAAACTCTGTCAGTTTGTTTGCTTATTTCAGAAGGTAAATAGATTCAGTAGCTCTTCGGGAAAGGCGAACTCAAGATGAAAGTTCCCCAGCTCTAGATCCTCTGCCTTCTTGTCCCTATTTCTTCATTTCACGGTAAACTCATGTAGTGATTGATTGTTTACCTCATTCCCTTCTTTCTTTACTCAGTACTGGGTAAACTAATTCATTGACTCACTCTCCCGGAACCTATATGAGAGAGAGTTTATAGGGTAGGCCGGCCGATTCTTCTTTGCAGGAGGTAAATCTCTTTTCTTTATTTTCCTATTTCTTATTCTTCTTCTCTTTCTCCTAAACCGGAACCTATATGAGAGAGCTTACAAGGGGGGTAGGCCGATTCTTCTTTGCAGGAGGTGAAGCCCTCTCTTTTCTTTCTTTGCTTTTCCTATTTCTTATTCTTCTTTCTTCTTCTCTTTCTTTAGCTTTTCTTTACTATAAGGGATCTGCTGGAGCAAGCCTGCTTCGTTCGGTAATGATAGTAGCTTCAAGGGAATTGGTAAGGTAATACTTGGTCTTGGTCTTTGCATCTTTTTTGGCAGGGCGGGTCGCTTGAGTGAACCCAACGGTGGTTGTTTTTCCTTCCTTGTCTTATCGAACCAGTGTATGCCCATTCCTCCTTTCTTTGATGACTCCCTAGTGGATAAATAATTTGTTTCCGATGTGGATTGAAGGGGATAGATATAGATCCCTCTGCCTATCCGGAGTGTTGAAAAGAGTAAATGACTAAAAGAAGAGAAAGAGAAGCGACTAAACCGTAACCTCTGTGTCCCTCTCCTATCCTATATAGTGAATGAAAGATATTAAATGAATTAGCAGTTTTTCCAGACTCAAGCAAAAAAGAGCTAGCTACTACACCTTCGCCTTCTTTAACTTCTCTTTCTCCTCACTTACTCAGGAACAGGAATGAAATCCAGGAGACAAGACAAAGAATCCTCCTCCTCCGGCTCCTTCCTATTTATTCCATAACTGTAAACCCCTTACCTTTTGACTTTACGATCTTACATGACCTTTCTTCTTACTTCCTTCATTGGGTTTGTTTCGGTTGAGTAAGTAGCTTGCCGAGGAGAGGATTTAATTGACTCAATCAACTATAAAGAAAGGATCAGAATTAGAATCATTTAGTTAGTAGGTAGCTGAAGAAGGAAGAATCAAAGAATCAGACAAAAGACAATTCTATTGCTTGACCGTAGAGGAAATGAGCTATTTCACCGGACCCTACTACTATTTACCATAAGTTATTGAATGAAGTAAACAAGGGAAAGCCGAAACAAATCATTAGACTGATCCTATTTCTTTCACTAATTCGACTGACTCAACCTTAAATCTTTGACTAATCTCGGTCTCTTCTCTTTGACTGTAAGAAAGATGAATGTGAGACTTCCCCTAGCTAGGCTTCGTTCTCTGATCTCCTTGATTGATGAACTAACTCGCTCTAATCCTTGATTTCACTCTTTGTTTTACTACTCTCCTGCCCGCTGTAAAGACTTAGGATTCATTCCCCTATTCCTTCTGCTCATTAACCTATTCTAATTGAATAGACTTTCTTATAAACTTATGACCCTGTTGACCCTGCCTCTTCACCAGTATTAGCATTATCTGAAGTTCGTATTCTTTCCTATCTGTAAACTAAGACTCTTATTATAAGGAAGTGATTGTTCACCTCTGCCTTCTTTCACTCTTGCCCAAGAAATTGAAATAGGCTGGGTTGGATGACCCGCTCCTTCCCCTCGGCTTCTTGATCTTCTCCTTCACTCATTGCTTTCTTTCACTCTTTACTTTAGGACCATGAATTAAAAAAAGCTATCTTTCCCTTATATTTTTTGGATAAAATGTTATCCTTTCCCTATTTTTTTTTTTACTAAAATGTAGTGGAGGTAATTGATTAACTATTAAGTCAATCCTCCCGATTCATTCTCTGGTCCTTGAATTGTAAAAGAGAAATACTCCTTCCTTACTTATTCATTATCTTCTCAATAACTACTTAATCTTCCCTTATTCATTCTTTCTTTCACTCCTTTTATTCTTTCTCCTAAACTACTAAATAACTTAAGTTGTCGTGTGCCTATTTCTTTATTTCTTCTTTAATTGGAAACTCGGTAAACTCTTTAACCTTTCTAGAGTTGGTAAAGGATATTCTTTCTTTAGGCGGAACCTGAACCTGATTTGACTCATTCACCTCGTAACCAAGGCAAGGGTTTAACTATTAACTATTCTAGAAGAAGGTAAAACTATTTTACGGTCTCTTTCTTTCCCCTTATTCTCTTCCTATGAAATCTGTCACCTCTATACCTTCCCTTCGCTACTTCCCCTTCCTAGTAACCTTCCTTCTTTCAGGGTAATCTAAGAAACTAAAAGAGAAGTTCAATCACTTCTACTTCTATTTATTCTTGAACAGTAAACTGAGGCGAGAGTTTACGACCGGACTGTCCCTTCTTTCTTTGACTCCTCTACAACAAGGTCTCATGGCTGAGCCCATTCACCTGAACCTGGTAACCCTATTCAGTCCGTCAAAGAGGAAGTGTTTGACACGAAAGCTCATTCACCTCTATTCCTTGACCTTATTGAAGGAGGGAAAGCACTTTCTTTTCTTGAACAAGGTAAAGCTAGAGAAAAAGATATTTCTTTACCAATTCTAAATCATCAGAGAAAGACAAGATGCATTCTCCGGGGAACCTATAAGACGTTGTTGCCTTATTGAAGGAGTTAACTGCTTTTCAAGACTCAACCAACAGGGGACAAGATTCTTTCTCATATACCTTCTTCAAACACGAGGTAAACTAATGAATTGACTTTACTCTCTCCTCTCTCTGATTTCATTGTCAAAGATGACTCTCGATTCCTTCTCTATAACCTTTTCCTCTATTACTGGATTGGCAGGGTAAGCTGGCTGGGCCGATTCATTCTACTTCTCTTTCACTACTCTTTATCTAGACTATTACTGAAGAACCTTGGTAAATGGATAGGCTGGCTGAGAAGAGGGTCTTGATCCTGAACCGTAACCTGACTAATTGAACTTGAACGATTAGCTGATGAACCTGAATCTATTCCATATGGTCTCATTTCATTGCTTCGCTCCTTTACCTATCGGTTTCATTGCTTCGCTCCTTCACCTGACGAGAATAAAAGGAAAGAAGGTAAAGGAAAGTGGAATGAAATCAACAAACACAAATTATCCTGTATTTTAGAGAATGAAAGAAAGAAGAAGAAACCAAAAAGAGAATGTCGAACCAACACCCTTTTAACCCTTTTCCTTCCTCTGCCTGAACTGTCAAAAAGAAGAAACTACTTTACATTCTCCTTTTCTTTCTATTTATTCAATCAATCAAACAAGGACTCTTTCTTTCACACTCACTGTGTAACCTCAATCAATCACTACTGACCCTTCAGCCAGCTTCTGTTCTGATTCATGATCTTTAACTATGGATACTGAACCTGCTTGCCTTGCCCCTCTCTCTCATCTCCTCTTTACAGTCTCGCCGCTTCGCTTTAAGTCGAGCTACTTGCTTTGCTTGCTTTGTTTGCTTGGCCCCTTTCCCTTTCTTTTACTTTTCCAGCGTGTAAGAAAGATGTATTCTTTGCTGCCTGCCTTCTTTGACTGTTCATTCTCCCTATGTATTCTTTCTAATGGACTTGACTGGACTCTCCTCTCTCTCTTGTAAACTCATTAACCTTTTCCTTCAACGAAAGTCTCTTTGCTTGCCTTCCTTGTTCTCACATATTCTATTCATTCTCCTGAACTAACTCCGTAACCTTTCTTTAGAAAAGAGAAAGAGAGCAGCATTCTCCTTGCACTCCATACGTAACCTAACCTATCCTAATAGCCCCTTTTACTTACTGTTGGAAAGCCTAAAGCCAGATGTGAAACTGAACGAACTTCACTCCTGCTTCTGACCTACTCTACTCTTTTATCTTTCTTCTCTTTTACTGTTCTAGAAGGTAGAGGAAAGCCGAAACTTAGGATTCCTGAACTACTGAACGATTGACTATCCTATCCGAGTTTACAGTCTTTGTTTGTTTGAGGGGAGACTCTCTCTCAAGCTTCTACTGATTGAACTCCGTAAACTCAATTACCTATTTATTCTTTCTCCTTTTGCTACTTACTTACTTTGACTGATTGAATGAGGTAAAGCAATTCAATTTCCTTTTCTTTTCCTCTATGCTATGACCTTCCCTTATTGAGAACTGGGTAAATGGGGTTCTTTCCGTCCGTCCTGTCCTGGCCTGTTCCGTATGTCTCATTGCTGCGCTCCTCTTTCTTTATTCCTGAATGCGACTGAACTACTGAACGTATTGATTCTATTGCCTGCTAAACCTTAACTTAACCTATATGCTATTATTTATTTATCACTTGATTACCAGACCTTACCGAGCTAGCTTTGTTTTTCTTAGTTTTATTCCCTGATTAACCTGTAAAAGATCAATACTCTCGATTCATTTTCTTCCCTGTCAAAGATCACTACTCAAGATGGATTCAAGTTCACTTAAAGTAAATCCGAAACATGAATGAGAGTGAACTTGAAGTAAATCCTCAAGAAGAATCAATTCGAGTTCACTATCAGTCAATCCAAAGATGAATGAGACTTAACTTAAAGTAAATCCTCACTATTCTTTCATTCTTTTTTTCTCTTTCTCTTCTCTTTCTTTAACTCTTGCACAAGGTAATTTGTAAGTTAATCCTCAACTAATTATTCATTTGACTGAACCTCTCCAACTAGGCTTGGCTGATCTTAACTCTGGAACTTATTGATTTAAAGACTAGGTAGTAAAACATATTCAATTAATTCATTCTCTTCTCGAGTTCGTTATTCAATCCGGAACTATAAACAAAGCAAAGACCGAAGATTGATTCTCCTTCTTTCCCAAGGTAAAAGCCAAAGAGAAAGTCGAAAACCTGAAACCCTTATTCCTTCTTTCACTCGGTAGTAAAACAATTCAATTGACTTTTCCTTCTTTAACACTCTTTGACTCTCTTCCTCAGTACTTACTCATTCAGCTTTTTCGATCGATATTACCTTCCCTTTACCTATTTATTCACTGTAACCAAAGACTGCCGATGAATGATGTTTGTGTACGAATTGAACTCCTCTTCTTGAACGGTAACTAAGCCGAAAGATTAATGATCTTGATTGTGAACTTGGTAAAGCTATTCCATTGCCTTCACTGAACTTCTCCCAGATAGAACTGTAAAAAAAGAAGAAGAAAGATTAGAACAAGACATATGGTCGGCCGGTCTCTCTCTCATCTTTTCTTTCCTGAGCTTTCTTTAACTCCTTCCCCTTTAAAGACTCTTTCAGAAGGTCAAGCACTATTTGATGAGAACCTTTTCTGATATTCCCTTTCAAAAACTGTAAACAAAGCCGAACCTCAACAAGATTAATTATCCTTCACCTTTCGATCCATTCGATTGAAGTAAGTTAGTCCTCAATCTCAACCCTGGACGATTCTTATTGAAGGAGGTAAAGCAGCTGGGTGATAGGAACCTTCCCTTTTGACTCTATTCCGGAAGCTATTAACTGTAAACAGAAAGAGAAGAAAACTTAACCCTTTGCTCTGACTGAACCTTTCTTCACCTGACGAGAATGGAAGAAGATATTCCTTGTCTAGTCGAGTCAATGAATTCAATCCTAAACCTATGCTTTTACTGTGTTTGAAAGAATCTATGAATTAGCAGCTTTGAAACAACCCAGAACCGGAACTTCTATGACCTGACCTTAACCTATTAAGGTATTTAGTAGCCCTTTCATATGACCTCCGGCTAATTCATATAAATACCTTAGAAAGTTCAGCAATTGATCTGGTATATCGTAAAAGAGGTAGATATCTATGAGGAAACCAATAGATATTGTCACCTGATGAGTATTACGTAATAGACTGTAACAATAGGGCTTGATATCTCAATACACTGTGGCTGATTTTCTATTCATTGAATGTATTGGACCAAGGGGCATATCTGTAAAGAATTGAGTAGCGAATGCATCTATTGTCATTAATACATAAATCAAGATACCAATTAGTAGTGATTGAATTCCTTCTATGGTTCCACATGAGAAACCAGTATGAATATAACCTACATGTCCAATTGAACTATGAGCTAGAGGTCTTTTGACTTTCGTTTGGGCCATGAAGGCCAGTGCTCCTAAGATCATAGAAGCAATGCTGCAGAAAAAGAAGATTTGTTGCAATGTAGCTCCATAGGAACTATAAATAGAAAGACGTGAAATATTAGCAAAAATAGAGATTTTAGGCGCAATCGAAAGGAATGTTGTAACCGAGGTGGGTGAACCCTCATAGATATCAAGTGCCCACATATATAGAGTCAAAAGAGATATGGAGTCCGAAGGGTAGGGAGTTTTTCTTCGGGGCTTGAGAGATGGAATAGATAGGGCCCCACAAGTTGAGAATTCGCCACTGTGGAATTCACACGAAAGGGAACGAGGAATGATCAACGAAAAAAGTGCTCTCTGAACCGAAAGTGAAAGTTGTTTTCCATCAGACGGCTCTTTCCGTAACTCCACTCTCGACTTGGATTATATATCCAAAAATGTCCACTCTCAGCTATTCTACACGCTGCCGCCTAGCAGAGGCATGGTTATCTGAAGTGGATTCTCTCTTTTCTAGTGGATGCCGAACCTGTTGCCCCATTGACTATGGAGGGGGCGGGCGCAGCAGCTACATGGACCCCTTCCTTTTATTACCAGTGCTTTCTCGGGCCAAGCCGGAATTCTTGATGAGAAAGGGCAGGTAAAGCCCGAGGACAGCTATCCTACCTAATAGGCCAGCGGGCAGAACGAGGAGAGGGCCCGACAATCATACCACCGCTTTCGAAAAAGCGTGTTCCCTTCAGATAAGACGCACTGTAGGCCATCCTCGGCCTTCTTCGTTTTTTATGAAAAAGAAATCCAATCTTGATCTCCGAAAGCGTTTTCCTTCCTCTCCCTTCGTCGAGCCTTTAATGGTTGGGGGACGCATTTTCTTATCTGAACTTGGCGGGCATTCTTTACTAGCCTGATTCAAAGAAAGAGGGGTGTGAACATAGGCGATGATTTTTAGGTCCTAGGCCATTCATTCAATACAAAAGAAAGCTGTAGGGATGACAAAATGAGGTTTCCTATCTTGCAATGAAAAAGAAAAAAAGAGGAATAGAATAGACATCCCTTTTTCCGTCTATGTATTCTTTATCATCTCCCTATTTCTTTGTTTTGATATCGTTATATATCTCTCTCTAAATCAAATTGAGAAAGAATGGATTCTATCCCCTATATCGAACACTAAATTCTATCTATTGATCGAAAGATCTTCGTCAAATACCGGACTTTGCCTTTTCTTTTTTTTAGGAATTCCTCATATCCAAAGCGGCTTACCACAAGCACCCCACCTCATACGACTAGTTGGGGGGGCTGGCTGTTGGCCTTTTGAATCAAACAAAATCAAAAGTCAGTAGTAGGGGGCTGAATAGCTACTTTCTTTCATTCTCAAGGAAAGCGAAGAATCCACCTTTAGTCAATAGGAAGGAGCCTTACTTCATAAGTTTCCGGGCGTAGCACCGCAGGTTAATCTCTCGTTTTTTTAGCTTGACTTTACTAAACTAATAAGGGCTCACTGCTTGATAGTGACTTCTTTAGTTTGGTAGGATGATGAAAGACTATGCTCCGATCCTGCAAGTAATAATAGACAAACTCTGATATGAACCAAAAGACATCAATCATACAATATACTTCAATGAAGATGTGAAGAAAAGGTTGTCAAAATTATCAAAAGATGTTTCAATTCATGCCACATTGAAGAAAAATGAAGTTTGATTGTTATAAATTTTGGGTGGGTTACAATTTAGAGTTATTGTATTTCATTTATGTATTTTAAGACTTTATTTACTATAGGTTACAATTACATAATGGTTAATTATGGCCATTAGGTATGAATGTTACAACTCTTGGAATGACTTTAGTAGTTTCATTTTGAGGCTATATAAAGCCATGTATGTTGTATGTGTAAGAGACTTGGAAAAATATAGTAAAAAGAAGCATTTGTGCTCTTCTTTAGCCAATGGCTAAGTTTCTTTGCAATTCTATGTAGTTTAGGTTGCATGTAGAATCATTCAAGCTCGACATGATCAATCTTGCTTGTGGAGTGATTCGAATCTCATGGAAGTGTTCTTGCCTTGAGATATTTGATCAACAAGAATCATTCAAGCTAGACATGATCGATCTTGCTTATGGAGTGATTCGAATCTCAAACAATGTTCTTGCCTTGAGATATTCGATCAACAAGGTAATCCGAATCTTACTCCCCTTGTAGTGGTTCCTTTTCTTATCACGTTCGCTGGTAACCCGTCACAACATAATAAAAAGGAATGAGTTTAGCTGACTGAATCCAATCCATAAACCCGAAAACGAAACTTTGTTCCCTTTCGTCAAGTAGGTCAAAAAAGAGGTATACGAACGACTTTTGCTTTGCCTTAGACTCGATTGGAACAAAGCTTAGAAAGAAGGGGAGGCGAAATGGAGAAAGGAAAGGGGCAAGGGCGGTCTTGCTTGGCGCGAAGGTGGTTGGGGGTAGGGTACTAAAGGTCCTCGGACTTCCAGGCGGTTTTTCTTTTGGGCAGCTGTTCACCGTTGGATCTCGCGATATCTTTACCGAGATATCTTTTTTTCATTGTTCCCAGGGTTTTTTTTGGGTAATTTGCTCCCATGCTGCAAACAGTCAAATCTGAACTCAACCCTGTCGCCCTTCTTTCTTTCCTCGCAAGCAGGAAGCACACCAACTGGGTACCTTGCGTGATTCTACTGTGTTTTTTGCACTTGACTGGGTGGACAGTTGACAGGAAGAGAACTTAGATTCGCTTGGCCATCAGGCGGGCTAGTGCTTATCTTATGTGAAAACACTACAGAGCGAGTGGCTCTTCTAGGCGAGCTGCTGTGTGACAAGACTACAGAGAAAGCAGCGCTACGTGTAACATGCTATGGTCTCAACGCCCTTACGAGGTAGTGATGAGTTTCACGCGCTCTAAGCCCGGCCCGCGTGCGGTTAGGAAGATTGGCCATAATCTGAGCGGTATCACCCATCCTACCCTACCACCTATAGGCGGTCGTCCGTCCTACAGCCGCCTGAAAAGGAACTGTAGTGATCTTGTACAGCGATAGATAGAATCCCGATAAAAATACCACTAGATTGAGCACCACTGATTTCGTATCTGGTCAAAATCTTGGCTAATTGATCGAAGTGGGTAGCTCCAGTAGACCCATAGATCATGGAACAAATAGGGTGGGTAGGCCCAAACACCACAATACACGTATAGACGCGAACCCCCCTCGTTACCATACGTGCGACTCTCACCACATACTACTCGCACAAATACTCATAAATTCATACCGATTTCTTCCACCTCTCCAATCCTCGATCAAACTTGCGTTCCCCAGGCGCTATGAAATGGGAGTCTTGACTTCGCCTATCGTATGTATTGGCTTGGCTTCGTGCAGAACCAAGGAGGCATTCTGGCGGGCGCGTGCGTGTAGGAAGGGAAGGCCGACCACTACATAAGCTAAAGACAACGACTACAAGCAAAACCGAAAGCCACTCATTTCTATTCTTGTTGGGATTGTCTATCGATGGGAATCTATAGATCGTAGTAATTTGCCAACCTCTCTAAACTGAAATACGAGACAATTTCACTTCACACCACGGAAAAAAAGAAAGAGCAAAGCTTGCTGGGCCTTCCTACGATGACAAATGCCTCTTTTCTCTTCTCTTCAGTCTACAACAAACAAGTGGGAGAGGCAGGATTCAAGCCTACGTAGAAAAACTTCAACAGATTTACAGTCTGTTGCTTTTGACTGCTCGGCCACTCTCCCCTTCCCGGGCTAAGGCCCCCCTCAATGGGTTCTAAGAAGGAAGACCACGCCCTGAATCAATCAATAAGCTTTTTTATTTGAGGGACTAATTACTATTTATTAGCTTAGCTAGCGTTCCGGGAGAATCGAGTCATTTAGTCAGTTCATAACAATCTCTGTAAAGCAAGGGGCAAAGCTTCGACACTTCCCCCTTCCTCGCTTCTGGCTAAGCTGCGAGTGAATGAGCAAGTAAATGAACAAGCCATGTTCCTAAAAGGAGTGACTCTCTTTGTTTTATTCCCTTCCCCTATCCTTTCAAAAGCCCATAGGTTGGGCGCTCCCGCTTGACTAAGAGTTGTTTTGAAAGTCAGGCTCTTCCGCTGAGCTGAGATTCTACCCTTCTCGAGAGCCTACTTAAATAGCTTACGCTTACCAAGCCTAGTCTACCAAAAGAGGGCTACAACAAGCAAGCTTTCCCCCTTTCTTTGTTTTGGGTCGTGCCTCACCGCAGGCACTGAATGAATGAAATGAGTGGAGAAATTCCTTCTCCCTTATTACCAAGAACTTCGTTGTTGTTAGAAGCTAATTTAGACCATCCCACACCCAAAAACAACTCGGAGCCTAAACAAATAGAAGAGAGTTCAGTCTACAAGAAGCTGGCAGAGCTTTAGCCATTGAACTACATCCATCGAATGATGCTAGTGGAGACAAATTCCTTTTGGCGTGATTCAGTAAGATGATTCAGTCTTCCCATTCATTCCCAGATCCTTTTTTAGAGACAAATTCCTTTTGGCGTGATGATTCAGTCTTCCCATTCATTCCCAGATCCTTCTTCTCCGTAAGAACCCAGTTTTTCTATACGAGAGTGAGGAATCAAAACCAACAACTTCCCACTTTTGATGTCCCACAATTCTTCCCGTTTAGAAACTCAAGAGAAGGACAGGGGTTGCTAGGTCAAAAAAGCGAGAACTCCAAATTCTCCCCAAGTAGGATTTGAACCCACGCGACTAGTCAGTTAACAGCCGACCGCTCTACCACTGAGCTACTGAGGAACAACGGACTTTAGGAAGCCCACTCTTGTTCTTTGGACCAACTTCTGACCGAACAAAAAAGGGAAAGGGGTGAGTCACTCTTTTTCACATACACCAGGAGACAAGGTTACGATAGCAAGCCCCAGTCGGAGAGCCTCCAGGACAAGGGGGCGACGGTCAACCATCCACTCTCGAGATTCATATGGATCAATCTTCCTACCAGTTCGCTAAGTAGACTCACTCTACCGAGTGGCAACAAAGGCTGGAACTATTCCTGCCAAAAACAAGGGACCTACTTCTCATCCTAGGAGTTAGCAGGTATGAAAGAGTCCCCTCTCTCTCTCTCCGAGTTTCGACTACTAAGTAGCACTTCTGCTATTTTATAATGGAATCGATTCTGGTCAAGCTGTAAAAGCCCACTATTATTAGTAAGCTAGCGCGCCCCCCTTCCCTTCTTTATCAAAGTCGACGTTTCTCGCTTGTTAGTCCGACCTTTTTGGATATTTGAAGAAGGCAGGTTTGGAACCCTATCCAAGGGCAAGGTGCTAGTCTCGATCTCGCTTGGTGGTGTCCTTCTCGATGATTGTTGACTCAACATAGATTTCGTGCTTGAGTTGGGGGGCCTTCCCTCCATCTATCGAGTCAAGTAATTCGCTATCAGAAATTTGTCCGTCCTCATGCCATGCTTCTTCTTTCTCCGAATTGGTTCCTAGTGTCAGTCTATCAAGATTCGCCATCAAGAGAGGGTTAGGTTAAGCCAAGCCAGCGGGTCTTGTCATTCACTTCCCCCGTCCATCGATAACGGGAGTACGCATCAGCACATATCAAACGAAAAAAGCGTGAATCCTGATTCTCTTCCTCAATCAAAATGTCGAGCAATTTCTCCCTATTAATTCGGTCATAGTCTCAACAGGACCCTCTACGTGGAGGTGCACCAGAGGAAGGCAGCTTTCATGGCAATCATCACTAGTTTCTCCCTCATTTCTTCTGTTTTCTCTTGAATAAGGGCTATCCATTGAGTAAAGGGAGGTTTTGCTACAGTGATTCGGGCGGTTGGTGTCCTCTTCCTCTTCGAGAGTTGCGGGTCTTTCTGCATGAGTGGTAGCTCACGCTCAAAACTCCTCGTACACGAGTCCTAGTCGTTATGCAGCGGTCTGTTTGCCGGCTTCACTTGCGCGATGATGATTGGTTTCATCCATCCTCGACCCTAATGAAATTGAGTATTCCAGTCAGTCAAGCGGTTCGGGTTCTCGGCAGGTTCTCGTTCGCCTGCCCACTCCCTCATAGTCCATTAGTGGGTAGGGTGGTAAACTGATAAGGTGCCCGCCTCATCTTCAGACGTGTCCTCGAAAACTTGGCGGTTGTTCGGTCTCCGCTTTTGGGGGCAGAAGTGCTTGGTCGCTGGGGTTTCTTCCTTTTCCTCAACCAAAACGAAAAAGGTTGTTTGTGTCAGTCTGGTCTAAGATTTGGTTATGAGCTGGCTAGACAAAGAAAGATGGATTGAAGGTCAGATAGATTGGAGGAAAGTGGCACAGGACCTTTGATCGACCATGGGGCGTATTCTACCCTTACCGAATTCATTCTATGGAAGCGTTACGTAAAAAGCTCCTTCTCATGTATCTTGCATTTCTTTGGTTTTTGGAAGTTCCAGAATGTTGTCTTCTGATTTCCTTTGTTGGGAAGCCCCCTTTGATTAATGATCGTTCTGTGCAGCTCGCTAGTCCCCAAAGCCAAGGACGGGGTCAAACCATCATTCCAGAATTTGCAGTCCGATACATTTTCATTATGTTACCTAGTCAAACCCCCCAGCTCATGGACCAAAGTCAAACGGTTGTTCTTCCTTCCCCGCTCCCTCTTTTTCTAGATATGCGGTGGCGGGCGAAGCACTCTAGATGACCGGCGGCGGGTTACCATAGAAGAGGGGGCAACTTCTTTCTCCCTTGCTCCATTTTCCTTTGATGATTGAAAGTAGCAAGCCACTCCACTACTAGTTAGTACAAAGGCCAGATAGATAGAAGATAGCTCATCTAGCCCAGTGAGCAGATCCATTGTTTATGCGGCAGTGCAATGCAGCTGAAAAAGGTAAGCTTCTTTTTATTTATTAGTAAGGGTATAGGTTGGGGAAAACTCCAAAACTAGAGTTCCAAAAAGCTAACCTTAGAAAGGATATCTGTTTTCGAAAAGGGCACCCCTACGAGACCCCTAAACTACAAGCTAGTGCACAACTAATTTTCCACCATTGTTGATTGTAGCTTGCAGGCTCGAAAATCTCTCTTTCGCCTCTTCTCCATGTCTCCATTTGATTTGCTTCTTCTTTCGCCCAAGCGTTTGGTTTGCCCCTTGTTATCTTGCATTTTGTGATCCGGAGCTTCATTCTGCCTTTTGCTTCTCGCAGTGATCCGACGTGGATTTTCGATTGAAATGTTAGCTCCAGGTTTTGGGCGGCCCATCTGGTGGGGGGAGCTATCACTGCTAGAAGCCCTTGCGTTCGGCTGCGTACTCCCCGTCCGCGTATCTCACACTCCCTGGATTTTGGCTTTCATCTTTCATTTGCCTTTCCTGCATTTTTCTTTCGAGATATAGGTCGGCTTCGTGCATCTCGATGTTTGCCGGGGGTGCTCCTGAGGTATGCCCTTCCGGTAGGTTGTTCTCTTCTCTATCTTTTCCATCCAGTGCCCACACAGCGTCAGAAAATCTGCGTCTTCGATCTCTCTTCGCAACGCAATATATCAGTCTCTTTCTCTTGGCATCTGTCTTTGAAGTCATTGATTTCATATCGAGAAGCGGTGTTCACTATTAAGCCTACGCCCATTCCTTTCAAGCTTGATTCTGCCCTTAGACTCGTTACACTGTTCGACTGAACTCGTTGGCTCTGCGCTCTATTCAGTCGAAACCCGGTTCGATAACCTTCTCTCATAGATTCCCTTCACCAAGTCATCGTCAGCAATCCGCTCTTATCTCTTCGGCGAGTTCCTTTCTTGTCTTGCCCAAAAACTTTATGTATTCTCATTGGCGAAAGACTCTCCCGCAGCAACGTTTTACACATAGGGGCACTTTCTCTCGCTTGCCGTTAGTCCGTCTAGCGCCTTTCGGTTGTGGCTCGCCCCGTGGGTTAGCTTGAGTTAGATTTTAAAGTCTGGAAGGCATCCTTGTATTCTTTCAAATGGTCAGCCATTCTTCTTCCATTAGACTTGATAATCCTTTTCTCTTATCTTTGTTCCTTCTCTCTTCCAGTTCTCTCCATTATATTCTATAAATAACAAGAAGAAAGTAGCAATTTTGTTTCCAATGGTTTGAGCTTGGAAGCAACCTACTATCTATCGATAGGCGAGAATAGACAGCTATTTATTGGCAGCTTCGCCTATCTATTCTATTATGGCCGGCTTGGAGACAGAAGAGGAAGACCATCATCCCTAGGTACGATCATAGCTTGATTCATTCATTGAACCTTAGGGATAACCATTAGCATTGAGGTCAATCACCACACCACCTATATAAGAAATACGACATTCCATTCCTTCCGCGAGAGTGCATGGTCAACACACACCTAACCTAAAGCGCCTACGTTTCGTTTGCAGCCAATCCAACCACAACCTAACTAAACTAGCACGAGATTCTACAACCGAAACTACTGGTATTCTTGAGGGGACTCCTCCTATAATAGTTAGCAATACTGTGAAGGTGTTAATATAACACATGCGGAAGCAATTTGG